ACTTCCGGTTTAGCCATAGGGCTGTTTTTCGCCCTCCGCAGCCTTCAGGAGGCTTCCCTGAAGGCTCCGGAGGGCGAAAAACAGACCTACGGACAAACCAGAAGTCACTTCTGGTTTGCTCATAGGGCCACTTTTTGCCCTCTGGAGCCTTCAGGGAAGTCTGAAAATCAGCCTTACGGACAAATCAGAAGTCACAATTCTTGAACTTTTGGGTTCCCCATAGGTCCATTTTTCACCCTACGGAGCCTTCAGGGAAGCTCCTGAGGCCTCCGAAGGGCGTCCGGGGTGGGTGGGGAGGCTGTTTTGGCCCTCCCCAGGCTCCTAGAAAGCCTGTGGAGCCTGGGGAAGGCGAAAAAACTGTGCCAAAAGGAGGGGGGTTTCTGGTTGCGCACGCATGCACGCAGTGGAAGGGGGTCACATGCATAGCATTATGAGTATGGCATGCCCGTGCACGACCCCCCTGCACTCCCCCTGGCTTTTGGTATGGGAGCCAAAAAAGGTTCGCCATCACTGCACTAGACCATGGGGTAAGTGGGGAGAGCTTTGGCACTGGGCTGCTTTGCGTGGGCTGCTCGGAGCTGTCTTTTGTGTGCAGCAGCAGGTGGGGCGGCAAAGCGCCTCCTATGTTTTCTAGGCTTCGGCCCTGGCCTTTCTCTTACGAGAGGCTGCAGCTGGAGTGAGGAGGAAGATGCCCGGGCTCTGTCTGAGAGGAGGGGGCATTGTTGCCGGGAGTCCTGACATGACTCTCGCCATCTTCAGCCCTAATTAAGGCCAAGGGGGAAGTGCCCAAATGGCAGCGAAGTGCCCGGAGGCGATTTGGCTGCTTGGTTACTTTTACTCTTTGAGATCGTGAACCCCGATTGGTCGCCGGGCACTCCCACACTCTGGTCAGAGAACTGCTTGTACAGTTGCACCAAACTGATCATTCATGCCAGTTGTTAAATTATTTGAATCCCACCACTGGCTAAAAGGTATTTTTACTTACTTATTTTGAGCAATTTCAAAATGTATTTATATGCAGATCTTCTACATGGATTTTTTCTGAAGGAATGATTTGCAGNGGCAGCGGCTGCTTTAAGTGCTGCCTTGTCTCACAGCCGGGGCCACTCCGTGCCTCCAGCCGCTGGCACGTGCTCCTGTGAGAGCCTTTGTGCGGCGCCAGGAGGCCACGGAGAAGCTTAGTTCTGCTACTCGCTCAGCCTTCCCCCAGAGGCGATCCGGGTTTTGCAGCAGCAGAGCTTGGAGAAGCAGCGGCCGAAGGCCTGGGCAGCGGGCGGGCAGCAGCATCGGGGGCGGCGGGGCACTTTGCATTGCAGGAGCCACCAAGCGCCTTTGCTGCAGACCCGGGCGCTTGGCGGCTCCCGCGATGCAAATTCCCCCCCCCCCCGCCGAGGCCGACTGCTGCCCCTCTGAGCTGCTTCACCAAAGGCTGGGAAGGAACTCCTCTGGAGCTGGCGAGTCTTTGAAGATATGCCCAGCTGAGCCTCACCAGGCATAAACCTCACAGCACATCACTGCAACAGTTTGTTTATATCATGACAACCAAAACTGGATGCAATATTCTAAGTATGGTCTTACTAAGGCATTATAAAGTGATATTACACTTCATGTAATCTTGATTCTATCCCTCTTTTAATGCAGTCTAGGAGTGTGTTATTGCAGTTTAGGACTGCAATCAGATTGCAATGATAAGACAATTACATATACTTTTTACATTATTACAGTGTGTTCTATGTTAACTTTACATTTACTTTGCCTTTGAGCTTAGCTCAAAGCAGTAGTAAGTCAAGGGAACTGTGAAGTTTTGGATACAGAAACCATAAAATATTTTGTTCAAACAAAGTATCTGAACATCATACAAACTATTTTAACTTGAGGTTTGGGTTAGCGTTAGCACCAATGATATTTGCTGTCAAATGAGTAATAGATAAATCAAACCACATAGAGTAAACATGCAAAGATGACTATAATCATTTGGTTTATTTCAGAGTTTTATTTAATATAATAGTCATGTTAAAATAATTCTGGATATTAATCCAAGAACCTGTTCTTGTTATTGTTGTTCTAAAGACCAGCTTCTACCATTAAAGCAGCAAAATATTACTGATTTTTTAAAAAAGGTTAGAAAAAAGCCCCCATCCTTTCTATTGTTGTTTAGGGTGAGTAGGAATTCTTGCACTTATCATCACAAAATTATCATTGCTGGGTTTTGTTTTTTTTGAGAAATGTACAGATGTGAAGCAGGTTGACACTTTCACTGCCTGATCATTGTGAATGTTGCAGAAGGCATAAAGACTTTCTCCATTTCTCTTTTGGTGTATATGTTGGGATACAATAGGGAATAGGATGAATGTGAAAACTCTTAAGTATAAATGGGTTCTAGTGCATTCAGGGAATGGAAAATGGAGAACTTGCACCATGTTAGCTGGGGTGCCCTTCTAGAATCCTTGGACTGCTGCAATGCTGTCCTGAGAGCAATTGTTGCTTGGATGACTCAAGAAAACCTCCTATTCATATTCTTTATAGTATGGTCATATCTATTTATTCCAAATCTTCCTACTTGTTGCCTTGCATCCAAAAACATGTTTATTTGCAGTCATTTTGTAGACCCAAAGATTATAGCAAGAGGAATATCAGTTATTTATTAGTTTTCTTCCCAATAGTGTTTTGCTGCTTGGAGAAATGATCTCGTTTTATTTTTATTTTTCAAAGTGTCTGATATTATAAGAATTAATGCTATAAAGCTGAGAAGAGTATCTGCCTTTCATATGACCACCTGCCTGCAGGTGTACGTATGGAGAAACAGGTGGGAAATTAAAGGGTGTAATGAAAGGGAAGCTGTATTAGCATTAAAAGGCAGAGAGGTAACACCCACATCGTTGCTAAATTCTTGTTAACATTTTTGTAAGACATACTTTCACTTGATATTTTTTCTACAGCCTGACGTGTTGTTTTTACACAAACTGGGCAAAAGGACAATTCATTATTTTACTTTTCCCAATTGTTTATAAAATGCATAAGAACATAATCATTTGCAATGACATTCAGCACTGCCAGGGTTTTGTGACCTTTCCACTTAAAAAGACATTACTCAGGGCTATGGTTTTATCAGTTTTGAGTATATATAAATGTCATGTAAAATAAATACATTTGAACATTTTCTTCATTTCTCATTTCCAAACACTTCTGTTCATTTCATTCCTTTATTTAAAACATTGAGATAACTGCCCATCTTATGTGGCTCTCTGCAGCTCCCAATCAATAATTAAAACAGCATCGGTAAAAACAACATAACAAATTTATTTACATTAAACACCAGGCACCAAACTTCCAACATCTTATTAAATGATCTCATCTCACCATATCTTTGTGTTTGGGGGAATGGCCAGGTATTAATTGTTTATCAAAAGGAGGGTAGAGACCTGCCAAATTTCAAGTGGTAAGATGTTCCACAGGATAAGGGCTGCCATGGAAAAGGCACACTTTTTAGATTCCACAAGATGGCAATATTTAGGGAAGAGATTACAAGCAATGGGAATTCTGGTCCCAATTGTGATCATAAGACCTACCTGTCCATATAGAAATGTGTTGTGACTCAGCAGTTATGCTGAGAGCTTTTCCAGGATACAAAATTCAGTGTGGTGATTCAGCAGTTCTGCTGAGAGCTTTTTCAGGATCAAGATTCATTATGCAGCTGGGGGCGGGTTTGAGGCAANAAGAAGGATGGACAGATGGATGGATGGATGGAAAGAAAGACTGACAGAAAGAAAAGAAAGAAAGAAAGAAAGGAAAGAAAGAAGGATGGACAGATGGATGGATGGATGGAAAGAAAGACAGAAAGAAAAGAAAGAAAGAAAGAAAGAAAGACAGAAAGAAAGGAAAGAAAGAAAGATGGACAGATGGATGGACAGAAAGAAAGACAGAAAGAAAGACAGAAAGAAAGAAAGAAAGAAAGATGGATGGATGGAAAGAAAGACAGAAAGAAAAGAAAAGAAAGAAAGAAAGAAAGAAAGAAAGAAAGAAAGAAAGAAAGAAAGAAAGAAAGAAAGAAAAACTAGTAATACTTTTCTCCGTGTGCGTAGAGTGATTTGCGGTTGTGTTTAAGTGTCTTGACAGCCCAAGGAGAGAAATTATTTTTGAACCTATTTGTTCGGCCGGTTATGCTTCAATTGTAGTTTTTCTTATGTATAATGTACACTGAAGATGGCATTTAATTTCATTGTACGAGGTGCAATGACAATAAAGTAAAGTTAAAAAGATTGGTCCACCTTAACAACATTAACATTAATAACATTAATAGCAATAAGTTGTGTTTAATGCGTTGCTAGCCAGGGAATTCTGGCGGCTGAATTCCATCTATCTTAAAGTTGCTAAGGTGGGCACTATCTTAAAAGCTTCAAACTCAGACTGAGGAGCCCCATTTCTTCAACTCTTCAAATAATGCAAGCAAGAGACGGTTATTTTCTTCCTATATGCCTGAGGTAAAAGCCACCTGTATTCTTAAAGGAGTGACTCTTTGAGGTAAGTCAATGGTCCATGAAGAGTGAGGAGAACATGGGTCAAAGGACAGATTTCCTTTCATGAGGTGAGGTAAATAAGATGGAATCAATGGGTGACCAGATGACCTGATCTAAATCCATCTTCTCACCAACCCGTAGAAACCATATTGTGTCTTTCTGGTCAGGCAGTCCTATAAGTTAGATATGGTCAGTTTTTAGGATGGGAACCAAGCTTTTGAGCTACCAAGGTGGGTTCAGAGACTGTCCGCCATCTTTCAAGTAGGAAAGCCCAGGAAACGTTGATACGAACAGATGGGAAATCACCAGATGTTGATTAAATTGATTAACACCCAAGAGATCCTATCACTCAACCTATCCATGCCCCAAACAGCCCAACTCCCAGAGAGGATTTCAGAAAAGAGGTAAGACATGTTGGTACCACAAGGATGGTCAGAAGACCTCAACTGTGGAGAAAAGGAAGGAAGGAAGAAGCCCACTTACTTTTTTCTCTCCTTTTCCCTTTTCAGTGTCTGTGAACCTCCTGCCTGCTGAGTCTGAGACTGAAGCAATTCAGCGGCTGTCTTCCTCTGCTTAAAGGCGTTGACTTCATCATCCAAGGTTTTCTTCTTGTCCTCCAGCTTCTTCTTCTCGTCCTGGTGCAGCTTCTTCAGGCGGTCAAATTTCTCATGGAGCTGGAATAAGGGTACCAAGGCACACAAGTCAACCCAATTCTCAAGGGGAGACCCTTGGCCTCATCAGGGACATCCAGAACTCATCCAGGAACCATGAGGTTCCTCAGAAACTTACTAACGGCCTGGAACAAAGTGATCTAAATACACACCGTTCTCAAAACTCTCCAGGAAGAGAGTTATGGGGCTCCGTCATTCCCATAACCCAACTTGCTTTGCAAAAGGATTACATGACACGAGAGACAGAAGCTTGAATCAAAAATCTGTTGCGTGGGTTGGAGCACATTTGACGTTTGCTGAACAGAGTAGCTGGGACAGAGATACAGAAGTGATCATAGCAAATCTCAAGAGAGAACTTNCACACACACACACCCTATCCTGATTAAGTATACCCAGGCCTTACCTAGTTGATTTCAGAATAAAACCTGCCTCTAACAGCCTCCAAAATTATTCTTCCACTGAAAAAGAGAAATTGTGATTCCCTCACCCCCTGCTTTTTTTCAGAGAGGAGAATAACATTTAAAATAAAACATGGCATGATCCCCAGGGTGGGGATTTATATTGACTTAATCAAGTCTACATGGTAGCCAAAGGCAGTCTTTAATCTATTTTAGTTTTAAGGTACCACACATGCCCACGTAATAATGCAAAGCTTTCTTCACACAAGCTTTCAGGATGGCAAAGTTTCCTGAGTTCATTTGAGTAGGCAACACCATTTATGTGTACATTGACATGCTTCAGGAAATGCTTCAGAGATGGGAACCTGGGAGTGGAGACCACACAGTCTACCAAACATGAATGTAATCCTTCTGTAATGTTAAGGATTGATGTCTTTTCATACTTTCTATACTATGTTCCTGTAATCATATGATAACACAGTGTCACGTGAGCTTTCTAGGTATGTGTCATGCATTCTGAGTAACATAGAGTTTTTAATTTTAATGTTTATATCTTGTATGTTTTATAGTGGTAATGAAATCCATCAACCCCACTTTCCTGCTCATGAAAAAAATCTAATGTGGTGTCTTTTTCTTGGTTGCTCTCCTTTTCACTTTTTATATCACCCAAATGAGAGGTGGAGGAGGGAAAATTGGTCATGGCTTTACTTTGAAGTAAGCTTGCTAAGATTAAGCTGAGCAATAACTGGCTATGCATGCCTAGAAGCTTCTTGGAGTTTGGTTAGGAGTCACAATACATCCAATTAAGTGTATGTACCATTATAGCCTTGTCATAAATCCTAAGAATTTATTTATTTATTTAGGTTTGTCCAGCATGTATGAGAAAATAAGTATAAGTATGAATATAATATATAAACATATAAATATAAGCAGGTATACATATAAGAAATGAGTATAAATAGATGGAAACAATACAATAGGGATGGTAGGCAAATTGGTGCACTTATGCATGCCCCCTTATAGATTCCAAGAAGCCATGGCAGGATGAATCTCAACACATACTGTGTAATGTTGTAGACTTGATGTGGTAAGAATTTCATCATGTGAAGAACCTCTATGCCCATCTCTGAATCCATCAGGAGGATGTCTTCTTATGCAAGACAACAAAGGATAAGATGTGGAGAGGTATGGCAGGTATATCTTCTGCCAGAAGCAGCAAATGTTTGTAGTCTCTTTCACTCATTTGGTTGATATGTGGAAGGGAATTTCCTAACTTGCTTCATAACACCTCAACATTTCTACATTAAAAAACAGTGCTAGAAATTTCTCACACAAATTTTGTTTCAGACTTGTACTCAGTTGATGTTGCTTGCTAAGCCTCTGATTTTCATTTCCAGCTGTGTAGCTGAGAAATAGAAGCCATGATGTTGATTCCCTTACAGAACTACTATAATGATTAATCAGATTACATTTCTGGCATACACAGAAAGGGCTTAAAAATGATACCAGAAGTAATATACATGAAGTCTGCCTCCTCATTATTGCAGTATAAACATCCTCCTTTTATTGGACATTCAAATTTGTGTCCTTCCTTGATATGAGGAAAGCTGAGCAATGAATGTAGGGCAATAAGAGAATATACATTTACCGTTCCTGGATAATCCTGGGTTGTTTGGCTGAGTAGTCTAACTGTAAGGAAGGTTAGGAGGAAAAGAGAGCAAGGAAGCAAGGAAAAGGCAAAAGCATCTTTTCTGAAATTTTGCATTAGGTAAATTCTGCATTTTAAAAATATAACAACAGGTTTACTTTACAAAGCATACAAAGCATACACATCCTCCCTAGGTGGGCATCTTCTCAGCTCTCCCATGTCCATTCCACCCCTTCTAGCTTCCTGATCAGGTCCAAGTCTTCCATTGGCTGCTTTACCAAGGGACACTCAGTTTGTTTATTTTTCCCTATGAACCTGTAGTAAAAAAAAAAGATTCCGAGGATTGCGTGGCTCAGCTGTGAGCTGTGTGCTCATCAAACCCTCTTTATTTCACTTTTTAAAGCATTTTTTTCCTGCCTATCCATCCAAACTGGCAGGGGGAAAATGCTTTAAAAAGAGAAAAAAAGTTGTTCACACAGTCACATGACCCTTCACCAAGCCACGCCCAGAGAAATGGTGGGCAAATAAATTAGATTTCACTACTCAGGTGGAGTATCTTTCTCTGCTGCCCTGAAGGATTGCATTAGCTCAGTTCTGGTTCCAAATATATACAAAGACACTTCTCCAAATGGACAAAGATGAAATATGTGCCATAGATCAATAGGTAAGAAGCACATGTTTAATATGCAAAGGTATATTTTTAAAACACAGCAGTGATCAGGAAAATGATTCCTGCTGAGTTAAGGTGGCAGCAAATCTCTTAGTATGGCTTGACAGAAAACTCAGGGATGTAACTGGGGAGAATTCAAGACTTCCTTGATTATTTACATTCACAGTGATAAGGAAATGTTCATCAATGTGCACAACTTTTAATGTGTCTGAGTTTGGGGCTAGAGGAAGGAAGGAGGGAAGGAGGGAGGACAATTAATCAATTCTGATAAAAACTTAACAGATTGCCATCATGTTCCTTTAAGTCATCTCCCGACATAATTATTTTTCCTTTAATACACAGACACCAAGGACATTCTGTTTAGTCCTACTTACTCATTAAAATCAGCCAGCCTGATGACCATATTAGAATGCTCCCACTGTATTGGAAAACAACTTTTTTATTGTGTACAGAATCCATTCCATACAGGATCTCAGATGTGGGGAATGTTAATGACATTTGCAATCCATAGGATCATTCCTTATAATAATAGAGATGCTAGATATAGATGATAGAGAGAGAAAACCCAATTAGCTGTCATTAGAGATGACATTGTTTCACACTCTTTAAAAAAATATTCTTGTGGTCTGTAATACAGTATCCCAACTGGTTAGCTTAAACCTTTTCTCCATGACAAACTATGATACAAGCATATTAACACAGACGATGACCCTTCATTTATTCATTAAACATCTGTGAAGCTTTGCTCCAGAGATTGCTTTGTTTCTACACAAGAAGAAATTGGATACTTCAGATATATGCAAATGTTCAGTAAGTTCAAAACACTAAATGAATTCCCACCCCTCTTGTATTATGTTTGAAATCCATAATCATAATCTTACATACTTATTTCTCCTGAGAACAAACGTAAGCTATAATTAAGTGGGCTTTGTGTTCTTCATGTAAATAAAAGTCATGAATTCACTCTATAAGTAAGTTATTTCAAAAGATGGTACACCTTCCCCAGCTAATGTCATACTTAGGACCAAACCTCCTTTAAATCCTCTAAATAGTACAAAACTAGCAATGAAGAGGTCAGTGAAATACTACCACCTTTTTTTACAACATAGTATTAGAAATGTCCCAATAATTTGTAAATATTAGTGAGTGGTTGCTGATTTAATTGTTAAATAATACACAGAAATAGGAATTCCAGATATTCCTCCCCCCCTCCATTATTTAAGCAGCATCACTCATTGAACAAGCAGCATCCTATTTCTTGTAGAATTGAAATCAGGGTAAATTGTAATTATTTTGATGCCATCCTTCTAATAAAGATTTTTACCTAAGGGATGTTTTTGGTAATCCTTCATGTCAGTCACTAATATGGTCACAATGGATATGGAGAAGTGAGACTTGACAAGTCAAACCTCCAAATTAATTAAGTGGCGGTCATTGCCCCATCTTGATTATATGTCTTTCTGATAGGTTCATAGGGTGAAACTGGCTAAAGAAATGGAAATTTCTTTGTGAAATGTTGGAGGGTCTCCATGTTGGAAGCACTGACCTTTCAAATTGCCAGATGCATGTTCCTTGAGTATTGGTAATATTTAGTTATTTCACCTGGATCAGGGTTGAAATTCAGCAGGTTCTGACAGGTTCTGTAGAACCAGTAGCGAAAATTTTGAGTAGTTTGGAGAACTGGTAAATACCACCTGTGGCTGGCCCCAGAGTGGGGAGGGAATGGGGATTTTGCAGTAACCTTCCCCTGGTGGCCACGTCCACCAAGCCACACCCAAACAACCAGTAGTAAAAAGATTTGAATTTCAACAGAGGCCTGAATGTATGTATACTTGATCTAAATTGCAGACTAGATTTATATCTCACTTTCTTTCAGAAGCTCATAGAAGCAAGTTTGGTTTAGTGCTTCAGGTGCTGGCCTAGGAACCAAAATATGGTGACTTTGGTGCAGTCATTGTCTCCCAGTCTAATCCACCTCCCAGGATTGTTATTGGGTAGAAAATAGAAGGCAGGAGTATTAATATGTTCACTTCCTCAAGTTGATGAAAATGTACAAAAGTTGGGATAAAAAATTAATTAACAATATGTTTGTACAGTGGATGTTGCTGTTTCTGGAGGTAGCAGAAGAGAAGAGAAAGAACTGGAGAAAATCATAAAAATCAGAAAGACCTGCAAATAGCAGTAGAGCTACTGTAGCAAAAGAAAGCCAAGATAGTACCAATAGTAATAGATGTCGGGATGCCATTCTGAAACACCTGGAGTACCACTTGAACACCATCAGCATAGTCAAGACCACCATCAGTCAATTTCATAAGACAGCTTTACTCAGAATAGCTTAGATCCTGCAACAGTACCTGTAACACCATCAAACAACAACATTTGCCTATCCCAGATCCTTGGGAATGACTTGATAGATGGATAAAAATGCCAAATCCAATCTAAACATCTGGCTGATTGCACAACCAACCATAAGAATAAGAATAGACTTGTCCTTTGGCTGCCTCTTCCAATGTCATCCTACACCAGGTACCTGGTGAAGCAGACTGAGCAAGACTGAAAATTCCATATTTAATATATATCCCTGGCCATTCTAAACACATAAACGTATAATACAAATACTGAATGTAGACCAACAGGATATTTTGTGCTCCCTCCCTCCCTCCCTCTCCCCCTCTCTCTTCCCTCTTTTTAAAAATCTCATCAATCCTGAGTCATGGTCTGCAGCTTTCAAATTTCTATTGGAAATTAAGATTAACTCTGAGAACAGATGTACTGCATATTAGCCACAGTGCATATTTAGGAAGCTTATGTGCTCTTTTGCACTATGAAGTGGTGAAGTCGTAATGCTGCAGAGCTTTCTTTGAAATAACATCCTTCTATATAAGTCATGTACTAAAAACCAAATAAGATATTCCCCCCCCTTTCAAAATGTTAGCATTATTAAAAGATAAATCTGAAAAATATATCTCTTATTTAAAGGTTGGGGATAGTATGCCTGCTATGCTGACAATGAGGATGAATTTTCACTCTTTTAATATAACAACAATAAGAACGGTAATTTCCATAATCTCCAATCAGCATTTGTTGAGCTGATATTATATAAACAGACATAAATATCCATCTGAAGGACATCAGGCTGGGGAAACTGTTGCATTACTGTCCCTCAAGGTTCTGTCCCCTATGAGTGTGTGTGTGTGTGTGTGTGTGTGTGTGTGTGTTTAATGAAATAAAGTTTAATGCCCCTATTTCGTCTTTTTAAAAAATCATTCCCCTTGCCACTTCTCAAAAAGGAGCTAACATATTAGCACCTCCCCATATTGGAAACATAGTATATTTCCTGCTATTTCTTCTGCAGTNAGAATAAATATTGGAATGAAGAATAGAATAGAATAAATATTGGAATGAAGAATAGAATAGAATAAATATTGGAATGAAGAATAGAATAGAATAAATATTGGAATGAAGAATGGAATAGAATAGAATAAATATTGGAATGAAGAATAGAATAGAATAGAATAGAATAGAATAAATATTGGAATGAAGAATGGAATAGAATAGAATAGAATAAATATTGGAATGAAGAAAACAATAGAATAGAATAAATATTGGAATGAAGAATGGAATAGAATAGAATAAATATTGGAATGAAGAATAGAATAGAATAGAATAGAATAGAATAAATATTGGAATGAAGAATGGAATAGAATAGAATAGAATAAATATTGGAATGAAGAAAACAATAGAATAGAATAAATATTGGAATGAAGAATGGAATGGAATAGAATAAATATTGGAATGAAGAATGGAATGGAATAGAATAAATATTGGAATGAAGAATGGAATGGAATAGAATAGTTCTTTATTGGCCAAGTGTTATTAGAAAGGAATTTGTCTCCAGTTCATAAGCTCTCAGTGTACATACAAAAAACAAAGTGATAAGATCATATATATATATCTGACCAAACAATCAATATTTGAAATATCTCTTGGCTGGTATGCAATAGTGCCATGAAGGAATCTGAAACCAAGGTTTATGTTTTTAAAAACAAGTTTGGCTGTGTTTTTTTCCCCCTCTAAGCAAATTTTTTCCCTACCAATGTTGTATTAAGTAGTGCTGTAGTGCAGGGATCACTATTAAAGCAAGTGACAAAACTTTACTCACGCAGTAGCAACCACCATCATAGTTTATTTCATTTTGACAGCCCCTTCCTTCCACGGGTGCCCCTGATCTGGTAAACCGTACCTGAACGGCTTGCTGTCCGGATCAGTGTCCTTAAACCCCATTTCTTCCAGTTTACACCGTCGGTATAACTCATAATGGCGCGTGTGGGTTTGTTCGCGAAGATCTTCCATGTTTACCCGGATCAACATCTCTCTGAGTTTCACAAAGTCACAGTGGGTTTCGTTTTCCACTGGGGGGGGGCGAGAAAAAGAGGGGCGACTGATCAATTTTATTTGATTGCATGCTGCTCTACAACAGGGGTCTCAAACTCAAGGCCTGGGGGCCAAATTCAGGCCCCGGGGTGCTTAGGGTCGCCCTGGAAACAGCCAGTGAAAACCGGGGGGGGGGGGGGGCTTCATTCCCTGGCAGAGGGCTAGCACAACTAAAAGCAAAACAAAACGAAATACTTCCCCTTTTGCATTTGAGCATCCGAGAAGGGACAAGAAAGGAGAAGGGGAATGAGGAAAGACAAAGAAAAATATGAAAAGAGGGGAGGGAAGAAAAAAGGAGAATGAAGAGGGAAGGAAAAAGAAGAAGGAAGGAAGGAAAGAAGGAAGGAAGGAAGAAAGGGAGGGAGGGAGGGAGGAAGGAAGGAAGGAAGAAAAAGAAGGAGGGAGGCAGGAAGGCAGGAGGGAGGGAGGGAGAGAGGGAAGGAAGGAAGGAAGGAAGGAAGAAAAAGAAGGAGGGAGGCAGGAAGACAGGAGGGAGGGAGGGAGAGAGGGAGGGAAGGAAGGAAGGAAGGAAGAAAAAGAGGGATGGAGGCAGGAAGGCAGGAGGGAGGGAGGAAGGGAGGGAAGGAAGGAAGGGAGGGAGCGAGATTATAATGAGAGTAATGGAGGGTCTGAGGGAAGTCCCACCTTAGCACTTGGCCACCACAGATACCCCCCCCCCCGACACAAGTGATGTCGAGCTGGCCACGCCCACCCTGGCCACTCCTCCCACTGGTCAAACACAACCCTGATGTGGCCCTCAATGAACTTAAATTTGACACCCCTGTTCTACAACATTGTTCCTCCATCTTAGTGATTTTGAGATGTAAGGACCTCAACTCCCAGAATTCCCCAGCAGGTATGGCTGGCTGTGGAATTCTGGGAGTTGAAGTCTTTCTATCTTCAAACTGCCATGGTTGAAAACAGTACCACAAACTTATAATGACGTCTATGAAATAAAAGCAAATGCAGAGTCAACCAAAGAACAGATATGATTCCCACCCACCCATTTCCAATGTTTATATAGGCTAAATATGTGATGAGGACAGAATTTACTTGTTCAGTACAGTTAACCTAGCAATAGCAATAGCAGTTAGACTTATATACTGCTTCATAGGGCTTTCAGACTTCTCTAAGCGGTTTACAGAGTCAGCATATCTCCCCCAACAACAATCCGGGTCCTCATTTTACCCACCTCGGAAGGATGGAAG